AGACCGGACTCAAAAGGATCGAAATATGCCCCAGTGCTTAAATGCCCCCCAGAACAAAGCTCAAGACTGTTGGTAAGAAGTACAAATATATCTTGCACCTAACAAGCTAACTGGTGTTCAATTAAGAAACACCAGGCATGTAAAGAAGCAGAAAATACACTACAAAATGAGGACGAGAAGTAATCAACTCCACCCGGGGGCTGCCACGAGGGAAGGGTGTCAGCTGTCACTGAATTTATGGCGCTACAGTCCTATGTTAGAAAAGAAGAAAGATCGCGAGTGGATGACCTCAGGTTCCCCGTTAAGAAACTAGGGGAAACAAAGAGGAAATGAAACCTGAAGTACACAGAATAAAGGAAATAAGGAAGATAAAAGCAGAGATGCATAAAATAAAGAAACAGCGGAGAAAGCCAGTAAGACTGCAAGCTGGTTCTTTGAAAAGATAAATAAAATGGATAAGCCTTTAGGCAGATAATGAGTGAAAAAATCAATAAATAAACACGTCAAAAAGGCAGATCATTAAGATCGGGTATGAGAGAAGGGACGTCACTCCAGAGTCCACGGAGATTAAAAGGGTAATAAGGGAACATTATGAAGAGCTTCAGGCCAATCAATTAAACAACTTAGATGAAATGGGAAAATTCCTTGAGAGACATACACTATCAAAGCATATTCAAAAAGAAACAGATAACCTGATATGTTCTGTATCTTTAAAGAAATAGAATTTTTGTGAAAAACCTTCCAATAATGAGAACTCCAGGCACCAAATTTCACTGCTAAATTTGACCAAATACTTAAGGAAAAAATAATTCCCATTCTTCCATACTCTTCCAGAAAAGTGAGGTAAGAATGTACTTTCCAAATAGTTTTATGAAATCAGCAACACCTTGATTCCAAAACTGAAAAGACATTATGAGAATAGACAACTATAGACCCAATACTCCTCATGAACTTAGATGTGAAAGTTAACAAAATTTTAGTAAATAGAGATCAATAATATATTTTATAAGGATAGTACATCATGACTAAGTTGGGTTTATCCGAAGAGCACAAAATTGATTTAATATATTAATAAAACAATCAATGTAATTCACCCTATAAAAGAACGAAAAAGAAAAAAAATATGATCACAATAGATGAAAATAAATGCATTTGACAAAATCCAACTCCATTTCTAATTAAACCTATTAGCAAATTATGAATAGAAAGGAAATTCCTCCACATGATAAAAGGCATCCATGAAGGACCTATAACTATCATCAAACTCAGTGATGAAAGACAAAATCAGGAAGAAATCAGTTATGCCTGCCCTAACAATGTCTGTTAAACACTAGACTGGTGGTGCAGGCCAGTGCAATAAGGCAAGTAAAAAAAAAAAAATGTGTCCAGGTTGGAAAAGATGTGAAATTGTCTTTAATCAAAGACTCCATGATTGACTAAATAGAAAGGTTGATGAACTGTATAAGAAGTCACTAAAACTAAGGAGTGAATTTAGCAAGCTTGCAGAATACAAGTAAAAAAAAAGAAAAATCAATTGTGTTTCTATATATTATCAATGGAAAAAAAGTTGAAATTTTAAAAAGCAATGTGATACAATGGTATTTAAAATATTTAATACTCATGGATACATCTGCCAAAATTACACTGAAAACTATAAAGCATTGCTGAGAGAAATTAAAAAGACTTAATTTACATAAGTGGAGAGCTGTGTTCATGGGTCAGAAGGATCAATCTGGGTCAGCTGTAAATTCTCCTAAACTGACCTATACGTTCAACACAGTCTGAATCAAAATCCCAGCAGGCTTTTTGGTAGAAATGTAATTCTGAAAGTTGTATGGAAATGCAAAGGACGTATCATAGCCAAAACAGCCTTGTGAAAAAATGACGAATTTATTTATTTAACATTACTGGATCCATGACAGTAAGCCTATAGTAATCAAGAAACTATCATTGGTGCCAAAATAAGCAAATAGGTCAATGGAACAGAATAGAAAGTACAGAAACGAGTGACTCATATGTGTACTTGTGCAACTGATTTTAAATTGAGGCATAAAAGCAATTTAGTGAAGAAAGAATAGCCTTTAAAAAATGATGCTGTAACAATAATTGGAAGTACATATGCAAAAAAAGAACTCTGATCCATAGCTTGCACTATACACAAAAAAACTCAAAATGGACCATAGGTGGAAAACTATAAAAATATGTGTTTATTTACCTATGTACATACATTGCATACACACACACACACACACACACACACACACACATACTTTTAGAAGAAATCATAGGCCAAAAATCATTTGTGATGTCACGTAAAGATTTCTTACATACCAAAAGCATAATCCATTAAAGAAAAAGTTGATAAATTAAACTTCACCAAAATTCCTAACTTTTGCTCATAAAAAGGCACTGTTAAAAGAGTGAAAAGACAAAATGCAGGATGAGAGAAAATATTTGAAAGCCACATATTTGACAAGGATTTGTGCCCAGAATGTATGACAAACTCTCAAATCTCAAAAATAGAACAAGCCACCCGATAAAAAATGGCTGGAAGAGTTAACCAGGTGCATCACCAAAGAAGACACGTGTCTGGAAAAGAAGCATGAAACCCTAATTAAATCTGCCATTAGCCTGTAGCAAACCGTGAGAAGGGTCTTCAAAAAATTAAAAGTGGAACCGTCTTATGACCCCGTGATTCCATTTCTAGGTGTGTCCGAAGAAACCCAAAGCACTATTTTAAGAGAATATATGTATCCCTACATTCATTGCAGCATCATTTACAGTAGCCAAGATACAGAAGCTACCCAAGTGCCCATCAGCAGACAAGCATATGGAACAGACAATGGAATATTACTTGACCATAAAAAATGAATGAAATCTTAACCATTTGTAACAGCATGGATGGACCTAGAGGGTAATATGCTAAGTGAAATAAGTCAGACAGAGAAAGACAAATACCACATGATTTCACTTATAAGTGGAATCTAAAGAACTAAATAAGTGAACAAATAAAATTGAAACAGAGTCACAGATACAGGGAACAAGCTAATGGTGGCCAGAGGGGAGGGGCTGGGTGAAAGGGTGAGGGATTAAGCAGCACAAATGGGTAGCTGCAGAGCAGTCACGAGGGTAAAGTACCGCGCAGTGAATATAGTCCGTACCATTGTAGTAACTATGTATGGTGCCAGGTGGGTGCTGGGAATATCAGGGCAAATACTTTGTAAAGCATATGATTGTCTAACCACTACGCTGTACACCTGAAACCAATAAAAAATAATATGGAATGTAAACTGTAATTAAAAAATAAAAATATAAAAATAGAACATAAAAGGCTGCCAAGAGAAATCCCATTAGAATGGCTAAAATGAGAAGGGCGGAGTGTACTCCTTCAGGTGAAGATGTGAAGGAACTGGAAGGAACCGGAAAGAACTGGCACTCACATGCAGTGCCAGCGGGCATGTCCGTGGTCCGAGCCCTTCAGAAAACAGCTCACAGATGTTTACAAAGTGTAGCCCGCGCTTCTCCTGTGATCTGGCCATTCGCTCAGAGATGAAGGCATATGTCCACCAAAGACTTGGACACCAACGCTCACAGCCACTGCGTTGGTACCCGCCCAAACCGGGACCAACCCAGAGGTCCACCCACAGGCGGATGGACTGACAATGTGTGATCTATCCCGACAGCCAAGCAGCGCTCCGCCATGATGACAGCGAACTGCCGGCGTGCGCAGCAGTGGCTCTGCAATGACGGAGGTGGTGCCTCCGTCCCGCAGCCTGCACGCTCATGGGAACTGCAGAAAGGCCTGGCCTTCACGGTGCCAAGGGACACGGGGCATCTCGCGGCAGGTAAGGGATGGGAAGTTGGGAGACCTGGGTTCAAGGCCAGGATTCCCCGCTCCAGGCGGTGTAATCACAGGCAAGCTCCTCACCTCCGAGTCCCAGCCCCCCGGCTGAGTACCGGAGCAGTGCCACTCTCCCAGCTGGGGGACCCATGGGGACCGAGACGTGGGTTCAGGTCCCCAGTTGCTGGAAGGGTCTTGCAGCAACTTGCCTGGAGCAGGTGCTTCATCGGGAGCCCTCTTCTCCCTTTGCTGGTGCTGGTGGAGTCCTCCCCAGTCACTTCCTTCCCACAGCAAAGACCCGCTGCATCGCCCTGTGGTCCCATAATCCGGTCCGGCCCCCGGGGCACCTCACGGCCTCAGTCACTGCTGTGAGGAGGCAGAGGTGAGGACCTATGAGAGCACTCTGGGCGCTGGCTGCTGTGGCTCGGTGGACTGAGCGCCGGCCTGATAACCGAAAGTCACTGATTCGATTCCCGGACAGGGCTCATGCCTGGGTTGTGGACCAGGTGCCCAGGTGGGGCGTGTAAGCGGCAATTGATCAATGTAGCTCTCCCTCCCTTCCTCTTTCTCTAAGTAAATAAAAAAAAAAAAATCTTAAAAAAAAAAGTGCTCTGGGAAAGGCGGGGACCTGCGTGCAATTGCTGGCAAATGGGCAAGAGCTGTTCCGTGTCCCTGGACCGAGCCCGGGAGGAAGGCCGAGGGCTGGGGCGGCAGGGCGGGAATCCTGTTGTGCTACTTACTGGCTTTACGATCTCGCACGCACCCCCTCCCTTCTTAGGCCGCAGAGTTCCCTGTTTGTGAAGAGGGAAAAATAACTCCACCCTGAACTGAGACCTGCTCTGGCCCCAGAAATGAGAGCGCAAGCCTCTGTTGAGTCCCCAGCGTGTGGCCGACACCCAAGCTGCGCCGCACAGCAGGTGGTTCCCACAGACGGCGAAAGTGAGTTCCACTGACAAGAGCTCTGGGTAAAGTACATTTATTTTTCTAAAGTCCCTTGATAAAAACACATGTAACAAACACAACACATAAGAGTGAGCCTTCGACGCCCGGCCCATAACACAGCCAGATGCCGTGGGGACATGAATCACGGACTGGGTCTCCTGCAGGCCCCCAGCGAGGTGGGACCTAGTGTTCACACTGTGAAGCCGCACAGAGTGGGCCGGCGGGGAATTCATGCGAACGGAGTAAATGGGGTCCTTGAAGGTCGGGGAGGGGGCTCGCTGGGATGTCTGTGCCTTCCACGTGCGACTTCTATTTTCAGCTCATACGTTATGAACACACACGCAGGTGGGCAGGAGAAAACAGATCTCTCAGGCTCCTTGGCGCCTCCTGTGGCTAGTCCAGGCCCAGGGCCCAGGTGGCCTTCTTGGCGTTCAGAAAGTTCTTCTTTCTCCTGGGAGGAACGTGCAGTGAGACCTCCGGATCCACTGGGTTCCTGAATATAAAGAGCTTCTCGCCTGTGTTTAAGAGATCGATGGTTTCTGCCCCTACAAGGGGCACAGGCACCAGTTCGTCGCTGGATTCCAGGGTCAGGTGCGGCCAACTCCCCTCTCCAGGGAGCGTCGTCCTCTCTCTGAGGGGGGGACGTGTCTTCTCCAGGATGCTGAAACAAGAACAGAAGGTCCCGTGGGCATGTGTGGCGCCTGACTGGCACTCCTGGTCCTGCCAGAGTTCCCCAGGAGAATCCCTTTTGGTCCCTAGGTCCCCAATCAAGTACCTTTTTTTAAAAAGATTTTATGGTTTTTTTTTTTTTTTATGTTTAGAGAAAGGGGAAGGGAGGGAGAGAAACATCCATGTGTGGTTGCTTCTCATGCGCCCCCTGCTGGGGTCCTGGCCTGCAACTCAGGCCTGTGCCCTGGCTGGGAATCGAACCCGCGGCCCTTTGGTTTGCAGGCCGGTGCTCAATCCACTGAGCCACAGCAGCTGGGGTCCAAGGACCCTTTTAAAGAAAGGTTTTCTTGTTGGTGCCCAGATGGCCCCTGGACTTAGCTGACGCCTGGGGCCGTGGTATGCAGTGGGCGGCTCTTCCTGACTCACAACCGTGGCAGGCGCAGGAGTTTGTGAGCCTGTCGGCATCACACTGTGCACTTGAAATTGGCCATGGTGGGAGCATTCACACCACGGAAATCAGCACGTGCTACACTCAGGGCTCCTGCCCCTCCCCCAGGACCCGCTGCCTGCGGTCCCCGTGCTAAAAGCAGGCGGGTGAAACCCGGTGACAAAGCGGCAGCAGGTAGGCACCACACGCCTGATGGAGGAGAAAGGGACGCGCCCTGGGAGTGCGGCCCAGGAGCGCCTTCCCGCCCCCGCCGGAATCGCGGGCCATCGGCTTCCGTTCCTCAGGGGAGCCCTTCACGTCTCTAACAGCCTGCATCTCACTTTCGTGGTCTGGGCTCAATATCCGGATCTAATTTCTTGGGGACTGAATTCTGTTCTGCAGCCTATTACCCATGTCCCCAAGATGTCCCTCCTGGACAACTCGGGAAGGGCGGCCTCAGCCCCATCCCCCTGGCTCTGCGCGCTCCGGCAGGCGGCAGCCCTCAGCCCTCAGGCGCAACGCCGCCCACCGACACCAACGGTCCCCGAGCACACACTGGAGGTCACGTGTTAGCCCATCACGAATCCACCGGATGTCATTCTCTCTCCGAATCTTCTCCGGGGGCACTGCTGGAAACACCAGCCCACTGTTTGCAGCAACCTTCAACCACCTGCCCCACTTTCCTCTGCTCGCCGGGAAGTAAGACACTCGAGAGAGGAGAAGGCACTGGCCGGGGTGTGTAGGGAACAGAGGGGTAAGCGAGGTGTCCCAGCCCCAGGGCCACTGTGTACAGCGGCAGACCTGGGCCTCTTCGCCTGCCCCCGTTTGTCATCCCCACTTCTGGCTCCGTGCAACTAGCCGGGCTTGGTCAACGGTACAGTTAGAACAGCTGTGAGGGATTAGGCGCCTTCCAATGATCCCATTAAAAAAATGTCCCCTGGTTAGAATAAGTACAGCAATTCCAATGCTAATCAGTGATAAGCAAACGGTCTCCCGCTGAGAGCTGGAAGCTTATCTTCAGCTCCCCAAGTGGGCCCACTTGGAAGACAGGCTGTGGTCTTTAGGAAGGCCCGGTCCCCTTCTCAGCCCCCTGTCCCTCCCATCCCGGCTCCCAGGCAGCCTGGCTGACCCCCTCCTCCGCGGTGTCCCTGCGCAGGCGGCCCCATTACCTCTCCTTCCTCTGGCGAGCCCACCGCATCTTTTCTGATCCTTTGCTTATGAGTTCCCCACGCAGTTTGTTTTCTAGTTCCCGCCACCAGCCCTGGTGTTTCCTGGAGACAAGAAGGGGGTGTCTTACAGTTTCAGGAAGAACAGAACCTTCCAGCGGGCTGCCGTCCAAAACCGCTCGCGGGCTCCGTCCTGGCGCGAGGAGCTGGGAGCGTTCGCCGTTTGTCCTCTCGCTCACTCAAGGCACGTGGGTCAAGCGCCTTCTCTGGCCTGGTCCAGAAACAATGTCTGCCCTCAAGGGGTCCCCAGGCCAGAGGCCACAGCCAGGAATGGGGGACATGAGTCGGCAGAGGAAGGCTGCTGAGAGTTGAGCCTTGACGTCCCGGCAAAGGCAGCACATGGAATGTTCACGCAGCAATGGGCTCCGTGAGCCGATGTTCAAGGACCCTGGGTTCAAGTCAAGTCCCTGAAGGATGGAGTGAGCCCAAGGATCCTGCCTGCGCCCAGCTCTGGGCCAGCTCAGACTCTGCCCGGGCTGGCTCACACTGCCCAGCCACCGGTGGGCGCGGCCCCACCCAGGCCGGGCCGGGCCGGGCTGCCCCCTCCTGGAGTCTCAGTCTTGGGCGGCGAAGGCTGGCCCTCTGAGGGCGGCACCCCAGAGAGCACGCCCCTGGGCTCCCCCAGTCCTGCCTGTCCCGGGGATGGGGCATCCTGACAGGTCCCTCGTGTACCCTTCTTGCTTAGATGAGCTAGGTAGTTTCTGTGGCTTGAAACCCAAGATTCTGAAATGACGACGTGACAAGGCACTTGGGACCCAACAGTAGTGTCTGCCCGCCCTCAGGGACGATGACACACGAGCCACGAGGCCAGGCAAAGGCCTGGTCATGCTCCTCACTGCTGGGGACAGCCGCCCCGCGTGCCCTTCCCAGGGCTCGCCTCAGCCCGGCCACGCCTGCTCACCAGCCTCCTGGACGGCCCTGGCCAGCGGGGCGGCCCCATCAATGAGGTCCTCAGGCAGAAGTAGCTTCCCTGGGACCGCGCATGTTCCTGCCCCGGAGTCACCTCCGATACCTGACATTTGCTTGACCCTACCTGGCTGTGCACTGGGGGAAGCGGAGCCCTCACCTGCTGCTCTCTAACCCCCTCACACCCAGCTCTCTGACCACACCAGGTACAGACCTGGCCACGCCCACCCCCACCTCAGGCCACCCCCACACCCAGGCCTGTGATCCCGGGTACCCTTAGCCCTCTGACCACGCCCACGCCCGGCGGCTGACTGTGCTGGCCCTGCCCTCTTCCTAGCCCCGTGGCTGTGGTTCCCATACTCCCGCCCTTCCTCTCACCGCGGCCGACTCGTTACCCTCAGCGGTGTTTCTTTCCATTGTGAGTCGGGGCCCCTTTACAACTCCATTGAAAAGAGAGCGCCCCTTTTCTCAGGAAAAGGAACACGCGTGCACACGTACCCACGCAACATGCCATTTTGCCAGATTCATGGCTCCCAGGCAGCCACCAGGGCCTCCTAGGAATCTGGTTGAGACACGGCCCTTGCCGCCTGGTGTTCAGCATTTCAGGCCTGGCCGTGGCTTCCCGTGCATCCCCACAAACTCTGTTCTCAAGTGGCACCGGCAGCTGCCCCCCACACCCCCGCTCTGTGCTTCTCCTTAGAAAGCGGAGCTGCGCTGACCCAGTTCACACCTGGCACCGGGTGCGGAAGGGAAGTGTCCCCGCAGCTTTGCCCCGACTGAGGGACAACATGGAGCCCGCACTAAAAGCCCAGGACCGGGGTCCCAGCGCACACGCCCCTCAGGGGGATGTCAGGCAGCCATTGAAAATAATACCCATGAAGGCTTTTCAGTAGCTGTGAAAACTATCACTTTTAAATTGTTACTAAAGTAACAGGAAATGTAGTCTAAGGAGTGTGATGCTTATTATATAAAATGGCTTTGCACATCGACAGCACACAGGCTCACCAGGACTTGAAAAGGTTCATAGCGACTCTGGCCGCCTTTGCTGCTTGGGCAGTGGCGTGGTGATGCGGGAGGGCGTGTGCTGTGGGGACCCCACGCCCCTCCCTCCGTCTCTCCTCCCGCAGCATCTCGCTGTCTCCCGGGGCAGTGGACGCTGACTCACCCCCTTCTGCCCGGGTCGGCCGGCTCCCCACCGCCGTCCTTCTCCACCGCGGGGTCCGGCTGCTTCTGGCTGACCGACTCGAGCACGGCCAGCAGCTCGGGCGGCGAGGCTGTGGGCAGAGCCACGCTCAGGAGGCGGCGCAGCGTGCCCGCCGGCACCGTCGTCAGCTTGGACAGGTAGGAGGCCAGCCGCAGCTCCTAAGGGGGAGCAGGCGGGGACCTCAGGCCTCAGTGCTCCAGCCCTGACGAACAGCCAGTTCTAACGGGCTTGGGACGTTCTGTCCCGGGGAAATACATATTTCAGTAGCTTAGTCTCAAACATGTCCCCACATTCACAGAGCTGTCAGAAAAAACCCATTGGGTCAGCAGCCTTGGCTCCCCATGACATTTCCAAAGCCTTCATCCGCGCCTTCCAACTACTCCCAGATCACTTGCCACGGCTCGTGCTCTGTCCTATAGCAGTGACAACAAGTGATGTCTCCTTCTCCTGCTCATGTTCCGAGGGGTGGTGTGGCTCTGGGGTGGGGTCATCACAGGCTCCGGAAACAACAGAAATGTCCCAAAACCCGGGGACAGTTAAGGAGACGGTGCCATGGCCACCCCACAAAACAGCATGCGGCAGTAAAAAGAAGGGACTGGGTGGATTTGGGGCCATTGCGCTGCCTGGAAAAAGCCAGTCTCCACGGGTCCCCTCCTGTGTGACTGCATGTGTGTGCCATTCCAGAACCGACCCAGTTTAGAGAGGGAGGAGAGAGTAGCGGTCACCAGGGCGAAGGGACGGGTGTAACCACCAGGGGTGGCACACGGCACATCTTCATGCTCATGGAATAGTTCCATGTCCTCATGGGGGCGCTGGCTATAGGAGCCTTGCTGTGACAAAATGGCATGGGTTTTATAGCAAGGTCGATGTCCTGGCTTTGCTAGCGCATCGGGTTTCTTTAGGTGCAACCACAGGGGAAACGGAGTGAACGAGGGGCGGGGCACTGGAAGTCTGTGCAGCCGTGGCAACGTCCTGCCAAGCTGGAATTATTTCAAAATAAAAGGTTAAGAGAGAGAATGGGCTCTGCCCTCCCAGAAGCCCATGTTCTCACCTGGCTATACAGGGTGGCAAAGGTGTCCGCCTCCAGCGTCTCCAGCAAGTCTTCCAGCACGGCACTGTCCTCTTGCTCCTCCCTCAGACTACAGGGGAATAAAACCAGGGGGAGGCTACGAGAGCATCTAGTCATTCGCACAACAAAGAATCACAACCTAATCTACGCTGTACTTTGTTACACGCACGGCAGGAGACAGCCGGAAGAGGTCAGGGCGCAGCCCGCTCTGCGGCGATGCGTCTGGGGGGACGGGGGCAGCGGGACGAAGGCCCCCAAAGCGCGCAGCCCCGGCAGGCGCGTGGAGGCTGCACTGTGGCTCTGGGGGCGATCGGTCGGAAAGATGCCCAGGAGCAGTCAGGGCCGTGCTCAAGAAGACCAGGCTCCGGGGCTCGTCCACCGCGTGCCCTTGGGTTGCATCATCACAGGATGTCCCTGGCTCGGACCCCAGAGGGTCTCCCTGAGGCTTCCCAGCGCGCACACGAGGGGCTCTGTCTCCCCGATCCCTCGGCCCATTCAGGTTGGCATCAGGACCACCCGCCCTGCACCCTTGCTGGTTAATACAGCCTGGCCCTCTGCAGGGACCGCAAGCATCAAAGGCCTGGCCATCAGCAATGCCCTCCACGAAGCACAGGGGACACCAGGGCATTAAACAGCCTGAACCCTGCTCTCGGGCGAGTCGGCACCCTGGGCCTGTCCCTCTGCTCACGGGGACCAGCCCCTCCTGGAATTACTTCAGTGGAACAGAATTACACACTCAGGCTGCATTTACACGGAAAAGTGTAATCAAGCCAATTAAAATCACCTGTCACCTCACCGCCCCGCAATCACCTCCATTACAATTTGGTCTATTTCCTTCCAATGAATGTGTGCATGTGTTTTCAAAGATCAGCCTTTCCACATCAGCATTACAAGCACAGCAGAAAATTAGGAAGCTGTTAAAAATTACATTTTCCAAAAGCTCTTAATCAAAGGCTAATCGTCTAATGTTAATTTAATTTAAAAAATAAAGATCGGGTTCTGCCCTGGCTGATGTGGCTCAGTGGATTGAGTGCCAGCCTGCAAACCCAAGGGCCCCAGTTCAATTCCCAGTCAGGGCACACGCCTGGGCTACGGGCCAGGCCCCCAGTAGGGGGTGCGCGAGAGGCAACCGCACATCACTGTATCTCCCTTCTCTTTCTCCCTCCTTTCCCTCCCCTAAAAATAAATACAATTTTTTAAAAAAACACCCAACTGACATTTTAAAAAAAAGATTGAGGTTTCAGCTGTTTCACATTTCACAAAAGCAGATCTAAACCATGACGTGATGGGTGAGGCTCGGGGAGGCCTGTGGTCCCTGCTCGGCGCCCGTAGCCAGGTCGACGCCCGGCGTGGAGGGCGCCCTCTGATGGTGGGAGGTGCTGCCTGGGGTCAGCGGCGGAAGGGCCTGTGCCACCTCTGCACCGTTTCTGTAGCTTCTTGAGAGTCTATCATGGTTTTGAAATAAAAAGTGCAAACATATTTGCAGTGTCCCGCAAAACCTCCATGATATTAGAAAGAAAAAAAAAATGAAGCCTAGAAAGAGGACAGGGAAGACATGCCGCTCGGTCAGCAGCCGCGTCTGGGCTCTGGGATGGCGCCTCCTCGTTCCGTCGAGCGGGAGAGGCCAGATGTGCCCCCTGCCCCTCCGTCCCCCAGGACACTGACACCACAGTGCCATCGGCCCAGCTCACCTCTGCTGCTGGTGCTCCAGTAACCTCTGGCTCCTGCTCAGGGCGCGCCGCAGGACAGCGGACACCTGCCTTTCAGGATCTGCGTCCTCAGACTCGTTCAGGAGCCCGGGCCCGTCCCCTGCCCACTGCTGCCGACTGGCCAGGGCCCGCTGCAGCTGCGCTGCCTCCTGCTGGGCCAGCCGGTCCTCCAGCTTCCGCTCCAGCTCCTGGAGCTCCTGCGCAGAGGGACGGGTGGTGAGCATGGGCGGGTGGGTGCAGGGGAGATCCGACCCGCTCGGCGCGGCCCCAGAAGCCTGGCCCCCCGTCCAGCCTTGGCAAACACGGCGCCGTGGCCGCATGGCGGTCGCACAGCCCCGGGCCTTCGCACGTGCTGCCCCTCCACCCGGAAGGGCCTTGCCGTTTGCCTGGCCCACTCTGAGTCTTCCTTCCAGCCTCGGCTGAAGAAGAACTTCCTCGGGGGAGGGCTCCCTCCGTGCCTTCAGAGACACAGACGCCTCCTCCTCAGTTGCCCATGTACAAGCCTGTTACGGAATGAAAGCTCCTGTCCCCTCCAGACCTGTGTGTTGGAGCCCTAGCGCCCACTGGGATGGGATTAGGAGGTGGGGCCTTTGGGGGCGAGGAGGGGATCACTGTCTTTATAAGAAGAGGAAGAGGCCAGAGCGCCCTCTCCCTGCTGAATGAGGACGTAACGAGAAGGCACCCCAGGACAGAATCTGCTGCCGCCTTGGGGCCTGGACTGTGGCTCCCAGCCTGCAGACCTGGGAGAAGAGAAATGCCTGCTGTGGAGCCACGAGCCTGTGGCCCTTCCAGCAGCCAGAGCTGACTAAGGCGACGCCCCACTTGTGCAGTTGGAATGTGAGCGCCTCCAGGGCTGCGCACGGTCTCCACCGCAGTGCCTCCAGCCCTCAGCCGGTGCCCGTCACTGACAGAGGGTCTCCGCAGCGCCCACCACGGAGGAGGCTGTGCCCGGCGCAGCAGCTGTGGGTGTCACTGCGGGTGGTCCTCTGGGCACTTTGCGTCCATGAATCTCTTCGCACCCTCACAACAACCCTATGGAGCACACACTCTTATTCTGTTTTACAGGTGAGGAAACCGAGGCCAAGAGACTTCCAGTAATTGACCAGGCCACGGGTTGCTTAAGGGGCGGAGCCAGAGGACGGACCAGGGCCCACGGGGCAGGGCGTGTGTCCTCAACCAGCAGGACGCACTGCCTCTCGCTGACCGAGCAGGAGCAGCCTGCACTCTCAGGCCACCGGAGTCCGATCATCCGGGTACAAGGCTCGGCCCACAGCCGGCTTACACGGGCAGGTGCAGGCAGTCTGGACCCATCCCTCGCTAGGCTGGCCCGTCTCTCAGGGGTGGAGGGTGGGGGCTGCCTGAGGGGCTGGTGGCCTCTGACCCTCTAAGCTGTGTACCAAACGGCCTGCCTTCCTGCAGGGAGCCAGAGTTCACATCAAGTTCTCAAAAGCCTCTCAAAGCCCCCCGAAGGCCCAGGAACACCCCTCCACAACCAAGACAGAACAAGAGACGGCCAGAGAGCTAAACTCGGGTGACCGTGTGGAGGGCACTTAGCTTTTGCCCCCAGGACCACAGAAGGAAGCCTTTGAACGTTATAAACAGGGGCCTGGCACTCGCTGAGATTTCCAGACCCGGCCATCCCGCCCGCCGCAGCGGCCCAGCCGCAGGCTTTCAGCGGCGCGTTCTGCTGGTGCGCCCAGTGCCTAGGCACAGGCCCCACTACAGAGGGACAGGAGGCACAGACGTGCAGAGAAGCAGCCTGGGCGGAGGCCCCTCAGGAGGCCAGGCGTGTCTCAAGTGCCCTGAGCCAGCCGGAAGGTCCAAGGAATTAAAAAGGGTCCTAGGGAGGGAGGGAGGGAGATCTTAAAATATAGAGATGGGGGATAGGGCAGCCAATGATCCTTTTATTTTTCAGAAATATCCCTCTGGCTTCAGAGTGCAAGGGAGACCGTAGCAGAGAAAGACGGGGCAGGAGGAAATTCACGTGCGAACGGAAGCTGGGCTTCTCGGGTAGAAGGTGGAGGCGCTGCTTTCCTGCTGCGTGACGCTGGTGAAGGGATGGACCTTCCCCCACCTCAGCCCCTGCATCCGTGGAATGTGCAGAAAAACGCCAAGGGGTGGCCCTGGCCCTGGGTGGCTCAGCTGGGTGGAGCATTGTCCCGATGCCAAAAGGTTGGTGGTTTGATCCCAGCAGGGGCACATACAGGAGGCGACCGAGGTCACATTGATGTTTCTGTCCCCGCCTGCCTTCCTCTTTCTAGCATCAATAAACACATCCTCGGGGAGGAGTGTGTGTGTGTGTGTGTGTGTGTGTGAGAACACATCCTCGGGGAGGAGTGTGTGTGTGCGCGCGCGTGCGCATGTGTGTGTATCATGGGGAGGAGAAGGGTTTACACATTTCACACACTGCCTTGGATTTACAGAGTGCGCAAATCATGTGAGCTGCTACGAGCGTTTTGTTTTTCAGGTCTAGATTCATGAGAGCTGTGAGGCTGAGCAGCAAAAAAAACATTTTGAGGGAATTCAGGCAGAACCAACAGATGGGATGACCAGCAGCAAGTGGGCAGGAAGCCGGGGCGGCGGGGAGAAGGGCGGGAGGCACCGGCTCCGATGTAGGGACGTGGGCAGCCAGCAGTTCAATGGGAGGGCAAACGAGCTGGAGAGATTACTGTGGGGTCCCACTATCTGTTCTGAGTGAGTCCCATTTAAATCTGCCCATCACTGCCTGGGATTCCGTGATGACTTTGTACACATTCCAACTGCACAAAACCAGTCTAAATCTTTCATCAGCTGAGGTGCACTTGATACAGTCTTCTTTGGGAGTCATTTCTTCCAAAGCATTCCATTTCATGCTTTTTCAATTCTCTTGAACGTTTAACAGCTCTAAAAGCCTGTTCCTGATGGGAAAGCGGTTTCCACAGAATGAACGGCTACTATCTGGGGCAGAACCACGCGTTTGTCTTCTCTCCGAATGCAAATCGAGGGGAAAAAAGGCATCATATCCATCGTTTCTCTGCCAGTGTAATAAACCACCATCGGATGTGTCAGCCGAGGCTTCCAACCCAGGACACGTTAACTCTTCTGTTCCAGGCATGCTGGGGAATCAGGGAGCTTCGGTGTTTACTCAGAAGGGCTTTACGATGAAGTTGAAACGGAAATGTTGTGCCACCCAGTTACAGACAGAAATGGGCGGGGGTTCAAGGTGAAAGAGGCACCAGGCGGTTCAGGGCTGAACGGAGGCTGCTTCTCTGGCACTTACAAAGGGGACAGGACTCTTGAGCTGAAGCCAGAGGCTCCCTGTGTCTTCCTTCGTCCCTCACCTGACACATGACCTCAGACCTGCCCTCCCCCTCCCGCTCCGGCCTCACCTGGGTACCTGTCATCCAGGGAGTGGCTCACCTCCGCGCCCCCGCCTTGAAGGGGGGGCGCTGGCTGCAGGTTTGGGGTACATGCTGTGGATAGTTTTCCTCCTCGTATTTATCTTGGATGGCCATTGAAATCAGTGAAATCCTTGCTCTGCCTAAACTGAAACGTCCATGGGAGGCTTTTCTCTCCTCTTTGAATCTGTTAATCCGGTAAATTTTGCAAATGAAGGTTTTAGGGTTCAACCAACCTTGTACTCCTGGGAAACACTCAACCTGCCCATGTTGTAGTCATTTTTGTTAACAGACGGCTGGGTTCTGGGAATAACATTTGTCTGTGAATTGTACACGAATGTCTACAAGTCAGGCCGAACTGCAATTGTCCTTTCTCATGCTATTCCAGCCTGCTGTGGGTGTCAAGGTGTCTGAGCGTCATACAATGAGCTGAGGCTTAGTCCCTATTTTCCTAACATCAAGGACCATTTAATATGAGACTGGGAAAATCTTCCACCTTGAAGGTGGGTGAAGCTCCCCTATAACACCATCAGGGTTAGGTGGCTTTTGGTGCGTGTTCTAAGAGTTTTTTTCTTTTTACTACTGAATCATAGCAATAGGCCTACACAGGCATTTTTCTACTTGAGCCAATTTTGGAAATCGGTATTTTTCTAGAAAACCTTCCGTTTCATTTCGGCTTTCACATTGTTCATTGCTTTTCTTAGTTTTTTAAAACTCTACAGCACCTGTAGTTACTTCCATAGCTTTTATTTTATGAGTCCACCTCCCACACCTTGAAAAACCGCAGCATGTGGGAATAATGGTAATAACTGGAGTTACAGAAGTTGGCGTAGGTCTGGCACTTCACGGCACCTGACCGCCGCTCATTGAAAGCCACGCCGTCATTTTCACAGCGTTTCTTTATGAAAGAAACAGTCTTGCTGTTGCCAGGAGGGTGCACGAGTCATATCAGGGATGCGAAAAAACATTACAATTAAAAGGCCCGCTTTTAGAGACGATGAAATAGAGCAGCCTTAGCCTGCGAGAGTGCCGTGGGCTCCCAGCTAAGTGACCTCACCGAGGTCACGACCCTGCAGCACAGACAGGACAGGCGACCCCTGCCCCACCGGCTGGTGCAGAACCAGAGGTGGGCACCAGGAAGGCCCGCGAGGGCGGCGCAGCCCCGCGCCCCCGGCCCCGCCCCCAGCCCCGCGCCCCACCCCCCACGCCGCAGCCCCACACTCACAGGGCCATGCGACTCCAGGACCTGGGCGCAGGCTGCCCGCGTCAGGGTCTCCGACACACGCAGCTCCTCCAGCAGCAGGTCCTGGAGGCCCAGGAGGGCCGTGTAGGCCCGCAGCGTCCTGGCCGTCCGGGCCGCCTTCTGGAACTGCAGGGAGACGAGGGACTCCGCCAAGCGGCCCTCCTGGGCCTCCAGCTGCTGCAGCCGCTCCCGGAGCAGCTCTCCTCGGACCTGGGGGGCGGGGGGGCGGGGAGCCAGAGCACGGTCAGCGGGAGCAGGGGGAGGGAGGGAGCGGCAGCCGAGGAGCGGCAGCCGACAGGCGGCAGCCTGTTGATTGCGGTCAGGCAGCCCCGGCCTTTCACTCAGGCCTCGGGGAAGGTCTCGGATCCTTACAGAGAAGCAGCCCTGGAATGTGCCCTTTTGGACCACAAGGGCCCCCTCGCTCACAAATGCTCCCCGAGGCCCTTGGGGTCTGGCAGTTCATTGCCCATTGATCACTCCCTGCAGGCAATCAACCCCCCCCCCCCCGCTGCCCAGCGCAAACCCTTCCAGGCTCCTGACACAGGCCCCACACCCTCCCCACCCTGATCCCAGCGAGGGGACGCCTGGACCGCTCTGGTCTGTTCTGCCACCGGCACCACACACAGGGGACTTCCACCTTCTGTCTGCTCGTGGCCCTGCGCCCCGCGCCCTGCGCCTACTGGGCAAGCCCGTCACTGTGACCTCAATGTCCCCAGGCCCTTGCCCTCCTGAAAATCCCCCATCTGTCTTTGGGTCTCTGGTTTCCAGTTAGCCCCTTGGACACCTCCACGCTGCACGTGTCTGCCACTCTCTCCTCTGTGACTCCCACGTTCATGCTCTTCGCCCCAGGGGACATGCACCACAGCATTCACCGCATGAGGACACGAGCTCCCGTGGGGACCTGGCACCCAAGGGGCTTGGTGAGCGGAGAGGAGCGAATCCATTCCCTCCACCCATTCGCCCGACTCAGTAGATCGGCCTGGCATCCCCGTACGTTCTCTCTGCTACCCACGCGCCCCCTCCCAGGAAGCTACCAGAGGGGGCGTTTCATCAAATAAGAAACGTGTGACAAAGACCCCCGCACGGCCCCGAGACAGCAGCTTTGCGCACCTCTTGCAGCCACGTCCGGGGGCGGGGGGCACACCGGAGGCATGAAGGCAGGGACCGGAGGCACAACGCCACGGCCCCAGGGTGATGCAGTCACTAGGAGGCACGAGGACTTGTGTGACAGTCCAGATAGGATGCACACACAAGCTCAAGAAAAATGAAAGGTAAAGTCTTTTAAATGGACAATGTTAAAAAAAAAAAAAAAAGCTGCCACATTCAAAAACCCTGCGAAGACAACATGGTAGCGTGTCGGTAGGTGCGAGGCGGACGTGGGACGCAGGATGGAGGGGTAAGTGAGGGCTGACGGGGAGGCCTCGAACGCCAGGCTCAGGAACCTGCGGGTTGTCCGGGGGCCTGTGGGGGGCGCCTCAGGGGGAAGGCTGTGATGGAGGCTGCCTCGGGGACAAAACAGGGGCAGGGAGGCACAGAGGGCACCGTCTTTGGATGGACGAAGAGGAAGAGGATCCCCTCCTCCTCCTAAAACGCAGTCCCTTCCGCCACGCTGCCGTGTCTCCGCTGCGCCAGGACCTGCGCCACCTGCGTTCTCTCTTGTCGGGACGCCTGACAATGAGCGCGTTACCCTCACGCTTAAACTCTAGTCGCTCCTGAAGTGACAGGCGTGGAAGAGCCGCTCCCGACCGAGGCGCCAGCAGCCACCTGTGTCACTGCAGAGGTGACAGCAGAGTGACAACAGGAGGCGTGGAGGGCGGAGCCACAGGGAGAGCGAGCTGTGCGGGCCGGCTCAGTGTGGGGGATGAATAACCAACGGTGCCGGCACGTGGCGGACACCTGCCCAGACGCAGGTGCCGACGTTACAATCGTCCCGGAAAGAAAGGGTGCGTGGGGAACAGGGCCCTGACCGTTTTGTGTACGTTAAAATGTTGCCGAGGAATATTTGTGAGACACATACACGTGCTCGGAGCAAAAGTGGCAGGAGAGCACGGCCAGGATCCATGGAAACGCCCCCTCGGTTTCTGGGTCCGTCGACCAATCGCTCGTTGAACATGGGAGAGGCCTCAGGAACCCGAGCTGCAGGTCCCCGGAACTGCCCCGGCATTGGGCACAGAGCTCGCTGGAGCCCGCTCCCGGGTTAGAGAGCGCCTGCCACCTGTGCCCCTCACCAGACCCTGGGACTGGCGGGCCACCGTTGTCACAGTGCATGTTGCACAGATGTGGGGCCAGGGCGTGTCCCTCCCACGCGGCACTAAGGAGGAAAACACCCTTGAGCAGTAAGAAAGGCGGCATCGTGGCCTGTACCTGCCTCCCTCTTTGTCCTGTTTCTCGACTTCCTATGCCAAGGGGGACGGGTGCTCCTTCCCGGGTCCCCGGATACATGGAAGCAACCACAGACCTCGCCCAGAGTACTTCCGATGGCCTTGGCCACCTTGTGCATTTGAGAAACACACTCACATTAAAAAAAATTAAAGTAAAACTATGCAAAGGACGTGGAGGAACAAACCCATCAGCTCTAAAACGGGGTCCAGTGCACCCGTTCCCGGGACATACTGCTCCTGGGAGCCGGCCCTTGGCCAGGTGCTGGGGGACAGCAGGCTCCCAGGTGGCAATAACAGGCTATCAACTCTGACACGTCCCCTCCTCAGAGAGACCGAGCCGGACTCCCCTACCCACAGGGGGCCCCGCCTCCTGCCCACCCCCACCTGGGTCACTGTCCCAGCATCTTACTTGTGCCCTGAGCCGCGCTATCCCGCGCTATCAGGTTGGGTGCTTTTTGTCCACCCTCCCCGACTAGAACGTGTGGCCAGCGAGAGACAGCAGGGACCGGCGCCGCCTCCCTCATGCCATGGCCAGAGCCTGTCGGCTCGGGGCTGGGGTCCCGGGGCCTCCTCAAAACCCCTGCGGGACGCGGGACAGTGCAGTATGCACGGCGGTGAGAAAGGGGGTTGGGGTGGGGGGTGTGTGGGAAGGGCTGGGTGTTCCGGGGAGGCTTCTTGAAAGGGGACCCCTGAGGACAGCGAAGGACCGAGTTCTTCCACCCAGGCGAAGAAAGGTGGAGGGGTGACACCCCCAGAGAGGGAAGAACAGGGTAGGCGGGCACCCCGCAGCCACCGTGCCCAGGGCAGGGACACGCAGCATAGCTGGCAAAGGGCCAGGGCACAGGCGGGGCGGGAGGCCAGGCCACTGTGGGAGCACCGAGGGGCGTGTGCCGGATAAGACGGGGACAGAAGAGAAGTGACCGGTGCAAACCCCTCAGGACAGGCCGGCACAGAGATGGCAGCCGCCCAGGCTGTGGGGGCGGAAGCAGGGGGCAGCCGGAGGGCGGCCTGGCGACCTCTGCCGGTGGAGGAAGGGGCTTCCAGACGGGAGGAGCAGGTGGAAAGGCATGAGGGGGAGGGGTGGGTCCCACCCGCGGGACCACAGCTCAGAACACGGCCTTTGGTGGAGGCGGACAGCCATGGCCCCGGACCGGCAAGCGGTGGCCGCCAGCCCTGCCAAGCGCAGCGAGAAATGACAGGAAGGCAGGCGCACTGACCTTTTCAGCCAGGTCTTCAGGGGCCGGTTCCTCAAAGAGCTGAATTTTATCCTCAATGCACTTCTTCAAAAGGTCGATCTTGCTTTTACTCTTGGCACGCGGCTTCCTCACCCTGGACTGTTGCTGGAGGGGGTGAGAGAAAACGTGGGCACAGAGGTGACTGCCAGACGTCCCTGCCGCCCTGGCCCCCAGAGCCGCGGAGCTCCTGCGCTCGCTTGTAACCCTGGAGCCGGCTGGAGCCCAGGAGGAAGCTCGCGTTCCTGGGGTAAGCTCGGTTCCCGGGCCTTCACTTCACGGTCCGGGCGCAGCTCCAGCCTAAGCAAGGCCAGGGCCTCCGTGGGGCAGAGCTGGAGCTCTGCGCTCAGAGAGATGGGGACCCGCCCACCGGGGACCCCACCCATCAGCCTCGTGGAGCTGGGGATGCGCCAGAAGGGCCTGTCCTCGTGACGCTTACAGAGTGGTGGAGAAAGCCACCGGTAAACACGAAAACCAGAAACTAAGATCCTCTCCTGCGACCAATCGGTGCTATGAAAGGCAGGGGACACAGTGGCAGTGACTGGGCATCACTGGGTGCTGTGGGCAGGGAAACGTTTGCGGGGTGAACAGCTGCTGACTACCGTTGTGCGCATCAATCCAAGGAGGCGCCGTGCACACGGAGCGAAACACGGGTCCTCCTAGAACAACGTGCACACAGCCTGCACACGCCTACCTGCCCCTTCACAAATGTCAGGGAGCGACCTGGCCACTGAGACTGCATGACAAGATGGCGTCAGGCGTGGGAAAACCTGCAAGAGGAGCGTCCCAGGCCCTGCCGGGGAGCGAGTTTGGGGACGGAGTGGACAGAGGCGAGGCTGAAGTAATGAACGAGAGTGGCTGATGCGGCCAGCCCTGGGCCTCGGTGTGCCCACCTGTAAACGGGGATCGGCCCATGGGGTCGCTGCCAGGACACAACCCCACCGAAGAAACACAAGGACAGAATGTAACACAGCCTGGCATGCTGTGATGCGCCACAATACAGCATACCACAGTATAACTTAACAGTGTGATATATAACATAACATACCACGGCAGAGCACAGCATAGCAGAGTAGAACACAATACAACACAGCTCAACACACCCCGCTGCTCAGCACAGCACGCGCCAGGCTGGCCTTCCCCAGCAAGGGCTGGTCTCCTTCCCCTCCCAGCTCACCCGCCGCCCTTTCTCCTCTGTTACATCCCCAGAGGAATCAAGAGGCCACTGAGATGGCCATCCTACCTGCAGCTCGGGGACAGCCCGGGCCTGGTCCAACTTCAGGAACTCCGCCTCCCGCCGCGCCGTCTGAAGCCGCTGCAGCAGCACGCGGGCCCGGACCCTGGGCAGCGCCAGGCTCCTGTCCATCTGGGCGAAGCAGCCGTGCACGTCCTGCCGCAGCCGGAGCAGCTCCTCCTCCGACAGGGAGAAGGCCGCGGAGCAGAGCCTCCTGGTAAGGCAGGGACAGTGACCGGCTGAGCAACACTCCATTTGTACCTGGGCCGCTGGGCCCCTAGGACGCTGCCCATCCTGGCTACTGGCAGTAAGGCCACCACGAATCCTCGCCATTCGTGGCAGCGTGCACGGACCTCGGCGGTATTATGCTCAGGGAAGTACGTCAGACAGACAAAGACAACTACCATACAATTTCACTTACATGTGGAATCTAATGAACAAAATAAGTAAACAAATAAAACAGAAACAAACTCACAGATACAGAGAACAAATTGATGGTTGCCAGGTGGAAGGGGCAGAGGGATGGGCGAAAAAGGTGTTAAGAAGCACAAATTGCCAGTTATAATAGCAGTCACAAGGATGTAAGGTACAGCTTAGGAAATACAGTCGGTACTATTGTAATTCTGTCTAGTTGTGTACAAGGCTGCTTGGGGTGATCACTTTGTAAGTTATATAAATGTCTCTATGTTGTATACCTGAAACTAATATGATATCATACATCAACTGTAATTGAAACATAAACTTTAAAAAACAAATAAAACTCTAAAAAAATTTTTAGAAATAATAGATGTGTGTTTTCATCCATAGAAAACAGTGGGGGTTGTGCTAGGGGTGGAGAAGCTGAACAGTCAAAGAGCAGACATCGTTGGTGAAATTCGCGTCTGGACAAGCCCCGTCGTCTCCTTTGCCGCGTCTTCATCCCGCGAGTCCTTCTTGAGCATCTCACGTCTGTCGTGCCGGACACAACACGGTGTCGGAGCTGGGCGTTCGGGCTTAGTGCATGAGGCTGTGAGGGTGTCCACGAAAAGGGAACAGCCTTCCGGGGTCCGTGACCTTGCAGATAACCTGGCCTCACCTTAGACGCAGATGTGATGACGACGGATTGGCCCTTAATCCTGGTCAGCTGTATATACTGCAGATGGGACTAGCAGCCCAAAGGAGAGAGGCCCCCGCAGCTCAGGGGGTCAGGGAATAGGGGGTCCCCTGCACTGGGTCTTGAAGGGCGATGATCATTTCAAGAAAACCCATTCCACGCTGGAGACCATGCTGAGGGGCGTACCATTATGCGTTGACTCATGTTCCCCTAAAAAGGTACATTCGAGCCCTGACCCCTACTACCTGTGAACGTGGCCTGATTTGAAAATAGGGTCTTTATCGATGCAACTAACAAGCCACACAGACCTACTGGAGTAGGGTAGACCCTTTGCCAATATGATTGGTGTCCTTATAAGGAGAGAAGACACGCACAGGAAACAGCCATGTGGCGACAGAGGCAGCGACTGGAGCGGTATGTCCGCCAGCCAACAAACGCTAGGGACACGGCAACACCAGAGGCTCAGAGAGAAGCCGGGCGAGATCGCCGCCAGGGGCCCTCAGAGAGACCACGGCTCTGCGGCCCCTGGCCTTGGGCTTCCGGCCCACTGACCTGCGCCAGGACCCGTTTCTGTGGTTTCAGGCCCCCCGGTTTGTGGGGCTTTGTGACGGTCCCCCAGGAGACACATATCCTTGGGTTTACCCGCATATCACTAATCCTTTCGGCGACTCCATCCTCATGTGACAGATGAAGCTGAGGAAGGCCACCCTCTGCCCCTTAGGCAAGGCCACCACCCCTCTGTGGGGGGAGACGTCCTGCCTCTCGGGACCCAGTTCTGGTCAGGGGGATGGAAGCGGAAGCCTGCTGGGGACCTGGGGTCAGAATTTCCTCCCTGACCCAGGAGGGTCAGCCATGGAGGGAGAGGCCCCCCTTCCGTTCTGCCCTGTGTGTTCGTTGCTTCACTCAACAAAGAGCCTCTGCAGACCAATAGGGACCTCTTGGTGCCGGTTATTGTGGCAACGCTCGTCAGCACGGGCCGCGTAAAACACGCTTGGTGGGAGCTGTAAAACGCAGAAGTATCTGCGGGGCACGGCTGTGGGAGGCCGCGCCAGGCCCCCTCGCTCCCATCTCAACGTGGGAGTGCGAGACGCGGGCTCAGCGGGGACGTTCTCTGGTGGAAACACTACGGCCCTCAGGGGTGATGTGGCCCCACCCGGGAGCCTGCGGACCCACGCCCATGTCGCTGACACCCCCTCTTGGGTTTCTCACTCCATGGGGCCGCCCTCCTTTTTAAAGGACCCGAGGAAACCGCAGCTGCTTCTTCATGCCTTCTGTCAGCAGCCTTTTGGCCCCCCTGTGGCTGCTGGTTACGCAGAATCCAAAGTGAAGGCAACTCTGAGATCGATGAGTCGCTGCTCTTGCCTGTCTTTGAGCAGGTCCACCCCGGGTGATGGTGTCTTGCTCCTCTGCTACGTAGGCATCAAGATAATACAGAAATAGGGGATACGGGGTCTCTGACCTGAAGGCCTCTAAGATCCAGGCAGGAACTTAGAGATGAAGTCTCTTTCCCTGGCGAAGATATGCATTCTTATTAATTCCTGCTTTACATGAACAGTGCGCAACTCCATCCTGCTAGAAATCGGGGAGCTCATAAAGACGTGCTTCAAAACTGTGGTGCAAAGCCATTGTTACGTAATGCCTCCGAAATCAAGACCATAACCTTGGAGAATCGTAAATAAGCGAAGCACATGAGCAGACTGGCACTGTGTGTGGTGTTAGCGGACCCTCCTTAACTTGCAGAAAAAATCGTAAGGAGTTTCCTGAGAGCAAAGCGAGAGTTGTCTTTTTTCGGCCGGACACTGAGTCAGCAGCGGCTTTGGTCATAAGCCTGCAAAACGGAGCCAAACGAGGCTGAAGGGAATGGCGCCTGGTCACAGGGGTGCCAAGTCCAATTCAGACGCCTCGAAGGGCTGGAGTGTGTGAAGGGACTTTAGTGGAGCGTGGGTTAAGCTGAATAATCACTGTTAAGAACAACTCGTGGGAATAGGAAGCGGCATTTAAGGGTCTGATCTTTAGGGGCTTGGAGAAGACAGCGTCTTGTTGGCTCATGAAAACAAACGCTATCAAAGATCGGGAAATAAAGGAGGACAGAACCGTAACAGAACCGTAACAGTGAGAGGAGAAAGAGCCCAGAAGTCACGTAATCTAAACCGAGACGACATCGCGCTCTGCAAACACGGGGGACCTGTCCTCCCTGGTGAGGGGGCCGGTCCCCGGCAGCAGCGCTGAGCTGGGAGAGGCAGCACATCGCGGAGGCCAGGAAGCCCCTGTTCCGCGGGAGGTAACCGCCACCAAGCGAGGACGCGCCCTGCAGAATGGCGCCCTGCGCTACGCCCCTCAGAGGATCCAGGGAGAGCGCGGGCCTGGGCGGATGGGGGACCCCCGGAGCGGGGCCCGCAGCGCGACTGGGCTGATGGCCCGGGAGGGAGGCCCGGCCTTGCCAGGCACACGGAGAAAGACTCCCCCACTCCCTTCTTGTCCGCCCCCCGCCCTTGCATCCCCTCCGCAACCCTGTCAGGAAAACCGTTTCTAATAAAAAAGGGTCACAGATTCAGAATTTAAACTGTTGCTAAGATTCCACGTAAACTGTGAGGTGTCTCTATCAAGAAAAGAATAATAAAAGAGTTCAGGTTTTGTTTCTTTGCCTCAACGGGGTTTTCTAAGTCAGTGGCTTGGTTGGTTTGTTGAAAGGAAAAGCAACGTAAAGGACTATTAAGAAAAGAAGCTCCTCTCCCCTCGTCAAACACCATTTGCCACCCAGGGGACCAGGCGCAGTCCCTGCTTATCCATCAGTAGTGGGTTTAATGCCCTGCCTGCCCAGGAAACTATTCAAGCAAAGCAACCGCACGCTCCCGTGGGGGCCTCACCCTCTTGCTGCTACAAAGCCCGCCTCCTGCAGCTCCTGCTTGTTGGCTGCAATTCCTGAGTGGCCTCAGGTATCAGGCGGTGTCCTTCTCCCCGGGGCTGTGAGTGTATGTCACTTATAAACTGCTGTCAGTCTCGTCTGCCCTGTGTCAGTCTTTCCTGTGTCAGAGGCAGCACCTTCAGCTGTCCCAGAACCTCAGGGCGCCATCCCTCCCCCCTGCGGCTGGACCGGCGACAGGGAAAGTCGCAGGGTTACTCACGTAAAGATCAAGCGCCCCCAGCGTCTCAGCTCTGCCTGCTCCTCCGTCGAGGCCTCGGGAGCGTCGTCCTTCAGTCTCTGCCTCACGCTCTGGACGCCCTCCTGGTCCCTGTCCCTCTGCTCGCCCTCGAGCTGCTCGGCCCGGGCGGCCACCTCCCTGCCCTGCTCCTCCAGGATCTGCTGCAGGAAGAGCCAGGGCACGCCACGCTTGAGCAGCTCCTGGGTCACCACGGAGTTCTGCAGGCGCCGCAGCTCCTCGGTGGCTTTCTCGAACAGCGACAGTGTCAGGGCCCTGAGGTCATCCAGGGCAGCCTGGTCCAGGCGCTCCTGCAGCTCCTCCAGGGCGGCGCTGTGGTCTGCCACCAGGCTCCGCCACTGGCCCAGGTACTGGCCCGCGTCCTCAGCGGCGCGGAAGGCGTCCGCGATGGACAGCTGCTCCTTCCGCTGCTCCTTGTGCTGGCGCGAATTTCAGAGAGAAGAAGATGTGGGGACAAGCTCAGTACATCAAGCCCTTTGGGAAAACACTTTGGGAACCTGGCTAAGCCTTTTCCCCCAACGAGCTCCCCTTTAGAAAATTATCCTTAAGAAAATAACCTAAAACATCATCAAAACTTTATATGTTCAACATTTATCAAGCGCTCGTTCACTGACGAGGTGAAGCCCAGGAGGAAGACCGCCCCGAGCCCGCCCCGGGGCTCCCATCCTGGCTTCCCCACGGACACGCTGCGTGGACGGAGACGAGCGTCTTGTCTGCCTGTGACTCCACCTCCTAATCTTCACGGCGGGCAGAAGGGCGCCCACCTCAGGGCAGCAGCCGTGGGGAGTCAATGAGCTGCTTAACACCGTAGCTCTTAGAGAAGAGCCTGGCGCAGAGTTCAAACCCACGAACATCTGCTATTACAACTCCTACGGCCCAGGCACTCGGTAGCCAAGTCCGCCACTTGCAGCCCCGAAGACGGCCTTCCTCAGAGCCCCACCAGGCTGGCACCCTGACCTCGGGCTTTAGCCTCCGTCCGGCATGGTCAGAGATAAATCTCTGTCATTCGTAAGCCACTTAGCCTGTGGTATTTTGTTACAGTGGCCCAAACAGACTGAGACACTCCATAAATGCCGCAGCGTCATCGCTCACTGCTGCACCCTCACCCAGGCGGACGTCCCCAGCCCGCCGAGACCCGTGGCTTTGCCAAGGCTGAGTGGGACCCGGAGCGCCCCCCTTGATACCACATCCCCAAAAGTCACTACCAGTCAAGCCCAGATGGCTGGTCACCACGTGGGTCTCAGCTGCCCCCTGGCCCTGGCGGGTGTTCCGAACGGTTGTGCGAAGGATGAACGGCACAGTCCCTTACGTACCTTTTGCAGCATCTCTCGTCTTCTCTTAATTATTAGCTTTTGGCGGAGCCTTTTCTTTTCCTGCTTTAAGTCATTGTCCAACTTCTGCTTTATAGAGAAGACTTCTGTCTGAGCCCGTTCCAACAGCGCTTCTGTCTGATCTTCATCCAAGTACCCAGCCCTGGGGGAAGAAGACGGGGGTGGATGCCCTCTTCCCGGCTGGGGACGACTGAGGGCGGGCGAGGCCGGGTCACTGCAGGCGGACACAGCTCACCGCCAGAGGGAAATCGCCTGAGGGCAGAAATGGGGCAGGACTTCCGGGAGGAAGCAACGGGCAAGGGGGCTGCCTCGGTGCCGCGGAATCTCCCAAGAGCAGAGGGCAGGCTGGGAATTCCCGGGCACGAGCCAAGTCCAGGAGGTCCACGGAGGGACGGCTCTGTGAGGGCTAATTCTGGGGCCGGACTGAACACGGTTTCGGAGTGTGTTCCTGAGGGTGCTTCCGAATGGGATGAGCATTTGGAGGCAGCCTCCGTGAAGCAGACCGCCCCCTCCCTGCCACCCCCCCCCCATGTGGGTGGTCTCCTCTAATCGGGGCCTGGCTGGAGGTGGAAGAGGGAGGGACTGGCCCCTTCTTTTCCTGCCTCCTGCTCCAGCTGGGACTCATCTCCTGTCTGCTGCCCTCAGGCTGAAGTTTAAGTCCCCTGGTTCTCAGGCCTCTGGACTCAGCCGGGACCACTCCACCACCTTCCCTGGGCCCGTCTGCTGACAGGACCGCACGCATGGGACTTTCAGCCTCTGGAACTGCGTGAGCCCATGCCTCGCGCCTGCGTTGTCTTTTCTGTTTTCTGGAGAACCCTGCCGATGCGCTCTGCTACTCTCATCATTACCACACTATTCCCGGTTAGTCTGCATCCCTGGGCTGGGCTGCCTGCTTGGTACAGGGTAGGTTCTCCATGGAAGCCCCTCGAAGGAACGAACCGGTGAATGAATGAATGAATGAACGAACGAACGGGGAGATGCGTGTTTTAGAAATAAGTCCAGGCCAGACTTTCACAACAGCATTTAAAAACTCAGAGCTAGAACACACTTCCCTGTGACCGCTCAGAGCAGCCGCAGCTGCAGCCACAGCCGGCACCGCGGGTGGAGGTGAGGCGCTGTCTCTCACTCACTGGAGTGAAGATGAATCAGGAGTGTCACCTCACCTGCAGTGACAGATTCAGTCGCATCTCTGGGTAAGCAGCGCTCACACAATGTGCACTGACAAAATCCTCATTAAATAGAACAAGAGCTTCAAAGACCTGATAAAATTATCCAGTGGAACCAAGTCGCAAAACCGCGCTCACCGTCAGAAACCAGCTCGAGAGTCACGTCCCTGGTCATTTCAGGGTGTCTCATAAACTACAAAGAATAAACTTCATGCGGACAGTGAAGCGCCTCAAAGACTAGCTGAGGAGGAGCGTGGAGAGAGGGGCAGGGCTGCCCTGGCTTCCTAGTCACATGGTGGGTGCCCTGGACCCGCACCCCACTCCCCAAGCTGCTGGGAAAGACCACCGAGAGCTTGGTAATTCGTTCCAAAGGCGAGTGCAGGAGCCTGCGGTGCACGCGCCCCGGGGGGCGGGGCTCCCCGCACGGTTCCCGGGAGCCTCCACCACCGATTTCTCAGTGCGGTGTCGGGGATCTGCTTTAACACAACCCGAGTGGAGGCCTGGAGCCAGGGCAGGAGTGGCCGTGAGCTGGTGCCTCCTGGCGCTGAATGATGGGCGCGGGGGGGCCGTCGTGTGGTTGTCTCAACTATGGAGTGTTTTAAATTCTATAATGCGATGGAGTCTTAGGACCAGAGTGTTTTTCTGTTTTCTCTTTTTTTAAAATCCTTATCCAAGGATACGTTTATTGATTTCAGAGAAGGAGAAAGGGAAAGAGAGGAACATCGACGTGAGAGAGAAACAATCGGTTGCCTCCTGTACGCGCCTCAAGAGGGGATCGAACCCGCAACCCAGGTATGTGCCCTGACTGGGATGGAACCCACAACCCTCTGGTGCACAGGATGACGCTCCAACCAACTGAGCCACCCTGGCCAGGGCAAACATTTTCCTTAAGACCTAAGTAAGAAACAGCCAGAGCATTCGATGAAGAACAGCAGTAGGTGGTCTTGGACGAGGAGCGTGGGGCCGGCGGTGCGCCCGCATCGTTTGGGGTGCTTGGGGGTTTACCTCTCGTGCTTCTGGATGAGGAGGGTCAGCTGCGCAGCCGCGGTGCTCAGGAGCCCCCGCACGCGGGTCTCCGACGACTGGATGTTCTGGACCAGGTACTCTCTGTGGCCGAATCTTTTACTTAGATGATACCTCTTACTGGCCTGGAAAAAGTCCATTAACTCTTCTACATCGTCCTGTTAAAAAATAAAAAATCAAGAGAATAGGCCTAATTAAAATGTAGAGAAAATTCCTCCCAGGCATTTAAAATATTACATTTCCTGCCTCAGAATATACACAGGACTAGGAGCACCGGAAGGAACCCTTCACCCTCCCAGCCCGGGACGGCGACACACGAATAAGAAACGAGGATTCTGGAAAGTGCCTGGGCCAGACGGTCGCAAGTCACCAAAGCATGTTTGCTGCCCTAAGAAACAGGACGTAAACTTCACTCAGCCGGTGACGTGCCCTCGCCCACGCCCACGCCCACACCCGCGCCGTTCCCAAGGACGGGGATCCACCCGCCACCGGCTCTGCCCCCGAAATGCACACGCTCACGGAGACGAGACGAGCGCAGTCAATCAGCGCAGCAGCAAGCAGTCTTCCTCCGCCAGCCACGGAACGAACGCGCCCAACCAACACCAGCGAGCGTGACAGCCTCGCTGGCCCTGGGCGTCTTCCCTGGGCGTGGCACCGGGCCCCAGGCGTCCCTCACCTTATCTACTGTCCTCGAGGGAGACGGGACTGTTACAGCCACAGATAAGGAAATGGAGTCTCATCGCACCATTGGTAAGCGGCCCGAGCAGGATTTGGGCTCCGCGATCTACGGCCTGTGCTCTAACTTCCTAGTAGGCCCCTCGCCCCGGCTCTGAACACGGCTTCAGCCAATGGCACGGTAGCCAGATCGGCAGGAATTGAGCTCCCATTGGCCGCAGCTGTGTTACCCCACTGATTGGCTCTGCCGGCTCTTCCATCTGTGGAAATACTGTCCCCGCAATGGGCTATGGGAAAGAGCGACACTTTGTTCAACAAGATGCACTGGGTGCTGTGGACAGTCTCCGTTCCATGCAAAAGCCATGACGTCCCGGTTCCGACACCTGAGAATTCGTACCGCCCGGGCAGTGGACGCTGCGTGGTCAGCAGACATGGCCCAATACCAGCACCTCCCTGAGGGTCCTGGCCACAGAATCCACACGCGTGCTCCCCACAGAACTGGACCCATGTGAGCTGGTGGCCGGGGCTGACACCCAAGGGAAGTCACAGTCGCATCATCCAGTACGTTGGCCGCTCGGATCAAGGTCATCCGTGCGGCGACACCATGATCACCTGCGCTGGTCACTTCTTTGACCCCAGTGTGATTAACAGTAACATGCATCCACCCTAACTCAACAGTCCTAGGCTTGAGAGTCGGCCACGGCTCTGCGAGAACAAGGACTGCAAAACCCGCCGACGCCCGGGGGACACCCTGGGGTCGAAGCACCGGACGCGGAGCATGAGGGAAGTCTTGACTCTCACTGACTTTCAGTGGGAAAACCTACAGCGAAATGAAGAGGCTGCTTTGTCCTCGGATGTCCCGGTGCCTTCTGGGAGTGGCCCTGTCTTCCCAAAGCTCACAGTGGTCACGTGGTCTCCTCCTGGCCCTGTCCTGCTCTGTGGCGGCCCTCGCGTCCCGGACCAGCACCAGGAACAGAAATCTGCACACCAGTGGTCTCACTGTGCGTGCATGTGTGTGTACGTGTGCTCGAAGGGCGCCTCCTGCCACCTCAAGAGAAATTCCACAGCAACACTGACGGTCTCGGATAAACTATTTCCGCTGTCATCTAGGAATTCCTTCAGTCTGCGTTAGTAACATTCACTCTCAAACTTATATGCAAAAACAGACGCAAATTCACCCAGACATGTCTGGACACAGACTGTAAACCCTACACACACACGTTTATGCACATGTATGCTGATACTAGTTTAAACACATATTGTACCAAGCACTGGCTTTCATGCATCAGCTCACTAAAGCCCTGTCTCTCCCCTGTGAGGCGGGTGCTGTTGCCCCATTTTACAGATGAGGAAACCAAGGCTCAGAGGAGCTAGGTCACTTGCTGAAATGGACACAGCTTGGGGGGAGAGCAGACCTGGAATTCAAGCTCAAGTCAGCCTGCGTCCCAGGCCTGGGTTTCGGGCCCTCATTTTTCCTGCTTCCCGGAAACTAAGCAGACATTGGGGTAGGAGGAGACGAGCTCACTTGTCCGTGGCACGAAAGAAGAGAGAAAGAGGAGCGGGACCCAGTGCTAGGGGAGGAGGAGTCCACCAGATGGTTCAGGAAAGGCCCTTCCCTCCGAGCACATGTGGCTGGGGGCATTACCTGGATTTTCGCATAGTCTTGCAGCAGCATTTTAGCTGCCTCTGGCTTCAGGTCCCCTTTGAAAATGGCACTTTTTATCTGGGCAAAAAAGATGCTGTGCAGCTCGTTTCTCTGGAAAACGGCGAGCTGCCGGCGAGCCTTGGCGAAGTCTTCCTCCTGCTGCAGAGCGAGGGACCTCCTCAGGTGCTCCTGCTCCAGGCCGTGCAGGGTCCGCAGGAGGCTGCTGCACTCGGCGGCGGGCTGCGGGGAGAGCGGGGGACGGGGGAGGCTGACATGCCGGCTGGCGCACATGGGCGTGTACGCACGCAGCACACATGTGTGCATGCAGTGGTCACCACGTGTGCACACACACCACACACACATTCATGCACACGGCCCATGCAAACCACACACACGTGTGTGTGCAGCACATGCAAACCACAAGCACACGTGCATGCACACACACACACACACATAGTACGTGCGAACACATGGCACATGTGCATACACCAGGAACGAGAACACATGCATGCGCACAGCACACATACATGTACACAACCCAGTATGCCCATGCACACAGTGTGTGCCCACACGCAACACACATGCAAGCATGGGCACATGCACACATAAGCACGAGTATGCACACTCCCATGGGACGGACACACGCGTGTCCACAATGCACGCACACACAATGGCTCTGGGAGATGCTGTTGCGACCTGTCCTCCCTGTGATCCTAACGTTTTCCAGAACCTCCAAGCAAAAAATTCACAGGAGTGGAAACCTGCAACTCAAACTGCCTGAAAACGCCCTGGAAAACAGACTCCAAGGACTGGGCTGTGCGGCGCTCAGACTTGTGCCATCACCGCTCCTTCGTAACTCAGCTGAGAAGAAATGTGCCCGCGATCGGGCCGCAGGGAGGCCGCCTGGGTGAGTGAGAAGGGCGGCAACGGGGTACGAAGGCACAGCCGCGCGCTGCCTGCCCATCAGGTGGCCGGTGCAAGGGCAGGAACGAGCAGGACCAGGACCCAAGCTCCAGGGTGAGGGCAGGGACCAGATCGCAAGCCCGAGGGACCCGCACAGAGCGCTCCGCCAAGCGGGGCCCAGGCTCCCGCCCATGGGCGCCTGAGAGGGCTTGTGGGTGGTGGTGTAAGTCACTGAATGGGTGGCACTTTGGTACACGGGCAAACGAAAACGAACACACTCGCTTTGCAGGTGAGAAGGCACACGCTCCGCAGCGCTAAGGGTCTCCCCACTCCCACCCCCCATCCCCGTCTCCCTGTGCTCGGGGGAGGAGGGAAGGAGTTGACACCAAATCCTCGGGCACAGGTTTTGAAACCACACGGACACTGGACCGTGCACCATGGTGGTAGAGCCAAGTGAGGGACAGTGTACCTGTCCCAGAGGCGGAGGGTGCGGCAATCCCAGGGGTCAAGGGTCAAGGTCAAGAGGCGCAGGGTCTCGGGAGGTGGGAAGGCGTGGATGACAGCTGTGGCTAGGCTGAGCAGAGGCCCCAGAAGGCAGAGGGGTGACGAGGGCACAGGGCAAGGGCCGAGCCCCCCAGCCAAGCGGGATCAGAGGGCTCTTAGCCCCCGCACCAGCTGTCCTCAGGGACCGGAGCCGCCACCGCCGCAGCTCCCCACGCCTGGGGCCTGCAGCCACTCCCAAGCCCGTGGAGGGGAAATGCTCACTTCCCTCTTTCCAGCCCTTGCCACTGGCTTTTCAGTTTGTTTAGAACCTGGCCCAGAAAGCAGCCAGCCTATGACAAGCCCTGCCCCAGCAGCTCCCCGCCATGAGACGAGCAGCGGCCACCGCGCCAGACGCCAAAGGACCTCCGTGCGTGTCCCTGGCCCCGTCTCTGGGCCCTTCCACGGTCACGTTGCCTTGGCCTCCAGAAAGCAGCGCCATCCTTCTGCAGAGCTGGTTTCTTAAACAGATCGGGTTAGACCCTCTGAGTCGCTCTTCTGGAGCGAAGCGGCACCAGACGGGGAGCTTGTCTAAGTTAGGGAACACGATTCGCCCACCCCGTGAGGGTGCCGCCGACGCCGGCACTGCAGGGGCGCTCGGCTGCCTGGGGCGTGGCTGACTCCCCACCAGAGGGACCTCTTCGACTGTATAAAATTCAACAGGCCCCAACCGCAATTTATTTTAATTCATAGGAATGAACTGGGGGTGAAATCTATTTGGCTTCTCACAGCCAGAACCCAAAACACGTGTGCATACACACACATGCAAATCCTAACATAAAATTATCCATCCTCGTTATTAGAATCCTATTTCCAGGAAGAGTAAACCCTGAGGCATTGACATGTCCATGTCAGAGTAAAACATTCCTTAAAATACGCCTGGATAGGACCCCCCCCACTCCAATCTTCACATGCGCTGCCCTCCTGAGGGGGTACAGAGACCTCCAGGAATGTGTCCAACCCCCAACCTAGTTCAACCGTCCTGTGGCACATGAGACGACTGAACCCTAAAGCAGGGGACACACCTCAGCTTGCCAAGCAGGGAAGTGGCCTGGTGAGAGAGGCGCTAGGGCATGGCGGCACCTGGGGTGAAGTGGGGCGAGCAAGCCCTGCTTGCAGGCGCAGCCGGGACTCAGCCCAGCACAAGGGGGCCCTGCGGGGACATGGGCCCTGCGCAGCCACATTTTCCCATTTTTTAACAGAAGCTGGAAGTCTAGGTTTTTATATGAAGTTTTATATTTTAAATATTGGCAAAAAAAAATGTGCATTTTAATGTCATGGTCACTCACCCCCAAGTCCTTATTGAACCTTCCACTAGAACAGATTTTCCAGGGAAGCAAGACATGGCGATCCTGTGGCTTTGAGTGTCTAGAAAAGCAGCTGGTCCTATGGGGGAGTGGGCACCGGCCGGGGAAGGCACTTCATGCCTGGCTGTGCCGGAGCATCTGCCGTTCCCAGTGCTGACTCCGCACCGCCCGAAACGTGAAACCGCCCTAGGGAATTACAACCTGCGTTCAACGTGGCAAGATGGGCAAACTGCAGCACCGCTTGATAAAATTAAATCCCGCAGAGAGCGTTAAAATGGCAGAGTCCTTGCACTTACGGAATCGTCTGAGGTGCCCTCAAAGGAGCCAGGAGGCAGCGGGCAGCTCAGGGCCGGCCGCACCCCTTGCCACCTCCTCTTTAAGGAGCCGTGAGGCACCTGTGCCTGGAAGACGGTCCCCAAGCAGAAGACACAGCCTGACCTGCTAGTGGCTGCTGGCAGATGGCTGGGCAAGGGCCTTCCCCCTGGGTCTTAGTTTCCCCTTCCAAAGTGGAAGGAATTCACGTTCTCCGACGGCTCCGTGTCATGGGACATGCTGAAGGTGACACATATGGTGTCCCAGGGAACGTGAGCACGGGGACAGCACTGCCAGGCACGGTCTAAGGGCCCTTCGAGCATTAACGGCCTACGAGGCAGGTGGCACTGCAGTTAGGGGTGGGGAAACCGAGGCCCATGGAGGGGAGCCGGGCGCCTTCCGGAAGCAGAGTAGGCACCTGCCCCGGGCCACCTGCCCTCGTGGGCTGCAGGCGCCCTCGCTGTCCCACAGGCTCTCGGCAGAGACGCACCCTGAAACCCGCAGGAAGGACGGGGGCGCACAGGTGCGGGCAGGTCTCGTCCCCGTCCTAAGCGCTGGGATGCCCGCGCCTCATCCAAATAAGCTGACCCTGCTCGTTTTGCTTTTTTTAAAACTAATTCTTGGTGGAATAATAGGTCCAAAATAGGCCCACGTGTTCTATTTAGAGATGCCTGCAATAAATGCAAAGGCAAGGACGAAGAAGCCCGTGGTTTGAAGGCAGGGCGGCTTGCGGCCTGGAAGGGAATAGCTCTGCTCACTCAGGCAGCTCAGGCGCTAGTGTTGGAAGTAGGCTGGCTCGGACAGAGGGACTTGTCTCTCTGAACAGGATGACCTAAGGGATCCAGAGTGATGGTGGCCTCCCACAGTATCATCCCTCCTCCGGGTCCCAACACTAATGTAAATAATGAGGACACAGACCTGCGCCACCCCAGGCAAAGCACTGGAAAGGCACCAGCCCGCTTGGATGCATTAACGCGGCCCCCATGGCAGCATGGGACACGATGGCCCACGGGTGGCGCTGCACCGGGTGGCAACGGGCGCAAAGGCTTGGCGCTGGGTGTAAGCCCTGGGCCCCCCTCTGGGTCCTCAGGCAGGCGACCTTCCCCGCATGGCGCCCTCACCCGTGAAAGGGGGAGGAGCCTCCCAATCCCCACCGCACTGAGCTGGTGGGAGACCGATGAGAAGCCGTGTGCTGAGCGCAGCGCCCGGCGCGCCGTGAGCACCAAGTAAGCGGGGGAGTGTGTGCTGCAGCAAGAAATGTGCTGCGGTGATAAGTGAACACACACCAAAGGCGCAATGATACAAACCAAGAAGCCCCACTTGGTTAAAAAAAAAAAAAAAGAAAGAAAGAAAGAAAAAGGGTGACGCAAAAGGCTAAAATGCACGCCAAAATTTGGGAGCCAGGAGGGGACCAGCTCAGCATCACTGTGTCCCCAGGGTCAGGGACCCAGAAGGAGCCCAGTGAACAGGCCTTGGATGATCGTCTGCTGTTGGGAGGTGGGGCGGCTTCCGATTTTTTTCGTTTTCCTTTTCTTGCTTTGGAGCTGGAGTTAGAAACTCTTCTACACAAGGCCACACACAGAGAGTCTAGGCATGCAGGCCATGTGAGGTCTCCGTCACTTACCGGTCTGCTTTTTTGTGTTCCTTTGTTTTTGTTTTTTATAACACTTTAAAAATGTAAAAGCAGCCCTGTCTGGTGTGAGTTAGTGGATTGAGCGCTGGCTTGTGAACCAAAGGGTCGCCAGTTTGATTCCCAGTCAGGGCACAGGCCTGGGCTGCAGGCCACGCCCCAGTAGGGGGCGCACGAGAGGCAACCACACATTGATGTTTCTCTCCCCCTCTTTCTCCCTCCCTTGCCCTCTGTCTAAAAATAAATAAATAAAATCTTTTAAAAAAATGTAAAAGCCATTCTCAAGCCTCCATGGGCCAAGCAAAACCAGGCCGGACAGGATCGGGCTCAAGGGTCTCGTTTGCCCACCCCTGCTTTCTAGTGCTTTCCAAGTCTCCCTCGCCGAACATGTATTACTTTTACAGGGAAAAAAAATATAACAAATTTAGGAAAGAAGAGAAAGAGAGATCATGAGACCATTTAGGTGCTGAATCACTGGACAGCGTGCGTTCAACACAGCTTCTTCAGGGCATGGTTCAGGGACACGTTTGACCAGTAAATACTGTCCAGAGGGAGATCAGAGGGTGGGGTCAGCCAGTGGCACTAGCGTGGGCTGAATGCTGACCACCCCCCTCCAAAGACACATCCGTGTCCTAACCCTAGAGCCTGTGAACATGACCTATTTGGAATAAGGGTCCTTATAAGATTATATGAGATCATTCTGGACTATTTGGGTGGGTCCTAAATCCAATGACAAGTGTCCTCATGAGACAGAAGAGGAGACGCCAGAGTCTCCTAGGAGAGAAGATGGCCACGTGAAGGTGGAGGTCAAGACTGGAGCGATGCAGCCATGAGCCAAGGGCCCCCGGGGCCACCGGGAGCTGAAAGAGGCAGGAAGGACCCTCCCCTGGAGCCTTCCGAGGGGGCACACTGGGATGACACCTGGACTTGGGACATCTGGCCTCCTGAACTGGGAGGGGACATATTCCTGCAGTTTTAAGCCACCAAGCCTCTGGTGATTTGTTACGGAAGCCCCAGGAACTCATCCGGGAGCCAGACAGAGAACGAGCCACACCCTAAACTGAAGAGGAGGAGGACCCAGCGTGGCTCTGCCTCTTTCTGGCTTCACCCCCAACGCGCCCCTGCTGTCTCCCGAGCGTGCATCCACTGCCAGGGGGAGTCTGCGGACGGCACCAGGCCGGGGCTGCAGAGGCTGGCGCTCCAGTGGGCGTTAGGCCTCGCTGGGGCAACAGGGTTTCAGAGCAGAGCACGTGGGCTCAGTCACAGGACTGAACAAGCCGCCTCTTTCACGGAGGAAGAGGGGAACGGGCTACATTGGATACACTCCAGAAAACGCTCCAGCACCGTTCCTTTCAAGACAGCCCCCAACTCACCCCCTCGAAAGGAGAGCTGGGCTCCGGTCAGCAGAGGCCAGGCCTGGGGCAGCCTCGCCAGTGGCTCACAGTAAGCACTGGGCGCGCCCAGCCATGCAGGCAGCTCCCCCGAGCCACTTCCCGCAGCCACCCCGAGGGGCGCCCCAGCCTCGCTTCACAGGGGCAGAGCCAGAGACGCTAGCCCGGGAGTCTAGGTCTGTCTGACTCCAGAGCCTGTGCTGGAGAGAGCACGCTGTAGCGACCACAGCCCAGAGGGTCGCACATGCACACGGACATCACAAAGGGAGGCTCTCCCCAGGACCTCCCATGGCACCGGGAACACAGAGCTATTACAGCACAGTTGAATGATGGCACATTTTGTATGTGAGGGTCCTTCTTAAACTATGGACTTCCTGAATGCAAACGCCATGTCTCATTTTTCTCTGTACCTTCACGGCCTAGCCCAGTGCCTGAGAGACAGTGAGTGATTAATAAATGCTTTCTAAACGAATTCCGGGTGGATCGCTGGGCTGTGGGTGGATATGCAGGTGGATGTATAAATGGATGGGTGGGTGGATGGATGTGCAGATGGACAGGTGGGTGGATGGTGGATGGATGGGTGGGTGGGTGGTGGGTGGGTGGATGGTGGATGGGTGGGTGGATGGTGGATGGGTGGGTGGATGGTGGATGGATGGGTGGGTGGGTGGTGGGTGGGTGGATGGGTGGTGGTGGATGGGTGGATGGATGGGCGGGTGGGTGGATGGCTGGGCGGGTGGGTGGATGGTGGATGGTGGATGGATGGGTGGGTGGGTGGATGGTGGGTGGATCGGTGGGTGGGTGGATGGTGGACGGGTGGGTGGATGGTGGATGGGTGGGTGGATGGTGGATGGTGGATGGGTGAGTGGATGGATGGGTGGATGGGTGGATGGTGGATGGGTGGGTGGATGGTGGTTGGGTGGGTGGATGGGTGGATGGTGGGTGGTGGGTGGGTGGATTGTGGATGGTGGGTGGGTGGGTGGATGGTGGACGGGTGGGTGGATGGTGGATGGTGGATGGGTGAGTGGATGGTGGTTGGGTGGGTGGATGGGTGGATGGTGGGTGGTGGATGGGTGGGTGGATGGTGGATGGGTGGAAGGGTGGATGGTGGACGGGTGGGTGGATGGTGGATGGGTGGGTGGATGGTGGACGGGTGGGTGGATGGTGGACGGGTGGGTGGATGGATGGTTGCCTGGATGAACGGATAAATGAAGTATCCCCAGAGGAAGGAGGGAGGCGGCAGAAGCCCGCCCTCCGAAGCTGCCTTACCCTCTCGCTAACACGTTTCAGCAGCTCTTCCGCCTCCTCCATCGCCGCCATCTCCCTCTGGTACTGGGTCTCTGTCTTCTTTCTTGTTTCCAGATCGCATTCAGCCGTCAACGCCACCATCTTCCGATCGTACTCCTCTTGTATTTCCTTCTCCAGCAAGAGAAACTGCTTTTTGAAAAAAGCGCCCATCCTCCTCTCTGCGGGAGGGGAGAGGTGGCCCCTGCTGGTCAGGCCTCGCAGTAGAAGGGCGATGACATCTTGGCTGATCTGGGTTCGACAGGCCTCCAGGTCGGAGTCGGCCCGATTCAGGGTTGCGATCTCCAACCTGGGACACACAGAGGTCGAGAGAATGGGTCCCATGAAGTGGCAACAGACACCAAAGGTCCCTCAAAGCTCTGAGGTTCCCAACTGCCTGCAAGCAAGCCTTCGTTTTCCCTTTCCCTCCTCCGCCCCTCCCTCCCTTCTGCCCCCTCCCGTGACTGAAGACCAGTGACATAACAGCAGCTTCTCCCTGAGCAAAGGGGCAGGTGCCGGCTGGGAGCAGGAGGGACGCAGCTGACATCAGCGTGGCCTCGGTGGCGGCAGACCAGGGGGGAAAGCCATAGTTACTGTATCGGGGGTGGGGGGCGGTTAATGAAGTTTATTTTCATTTTTTCCAATTAAAAATTATTTTATGGACATGACAACGGAAGGTAACGTGCTACCCTGGGCGGGATCCTGGAACAGACAAAGGACATAGGATAAACCTGTATAAAGTATGGACTTCCGTTAATAATGAATGAATATTGGTTCACGAGGTGTAACCATGCACCGCAGTTACTAACGGGGAAACGGGGTATGGGGTGGGTGGACCTCTCTGTGCGGTCTTCTCAATCCTCCCGTGAGTCTAAACCGGCTCTAAACACCAGGCCCACCGCAGACACAGTCAGGGGCGCTCCCGGGGCCTTACACCGGGCTGGGCTGCTGGGGCGGGGGTATTGTGTTCACAGCACCACACCAGACTGTAGCTCAGTGTGGGCGAGTTCATGGGGCGTCCGTTATGTCTCTATAACGCTGCAAAAGGACGCACAAGGAAATACTGATTTCGTGACAGAAAGTCTGGAACTTTCTGTCGAAATGTGTGTTGAAATGTCACACGTTACAAGGTCTACAGGAAAACGACACGCGGTCGGTGAATCACACCTGGATGGGAGGACCTGTCGATGAACCAAACACACTTAACGGGCAAGTCACATTTTCACCTTCCTTGGGCGAAGTGACTCTTGAAACTGGGCGCGTCCTTGGTGGGACCCCCGGAAGCCAGGCCTGTGAGTTGTGACCAAAGACATGGGCTTCTATGGAGCCTGCATCTCCTCACACCCGAGCGGCGTCACCTGGGAGGACACAGCCCTGGGACAGCTGAGCAGGTTGCAACGTGACCTGCGGCAAGGACACCCACGGGAGAATGCGCAACCCTGTCCTCACGGCGGCTGCCCTCCTACTCCCCGGCCTTTCGCTCGGAGGGGGTCACGGGAGGTCCACGGGGACCTTGTGGGTCCCAATGTTTGGCTGAACCTGGGAGACTACCTGCCTCCCCTCACTATGAAATCACAGATCTTTACATACGTGGGCTTATTTCACGTATTTCACAGCCGTTATGCTCTCCGAGGCCCACGGTTCACCATTTCAGACCCCAAGGCCTCACGCCCCTGAGACACAACCCAATCCGTCCTGGTCCGACGACAACTTATTCGTGTCATTCTCTCCTCTTCTCAGCAAGTACTTACTGGACACGTGCGTGAGCAGAGCATGTTCCCCGGGGAGAGCGAGCGAGAAAGCAGCGCCGGGGACGCCTGACGGCCGAGCGTGCCTGCTTCCCCACCCAGGGGGCTTCCCTACCCGGGGGGTTCCCCACCCAGGGCTCCCACGGCGTCCTGGGCTCTGCGAGAAACCGCGCCCCCGCCGAGATGGAGAGAGCAGACCTCACTCGCTCAATGATGCTTCTGGTGGTGCCCAGAGCACCGGCCCCACCCCTACGGCCACATCCCATCGCCCAGAACCTGCGAATAGGTCAGGTTCCATGGCTGACCTACAATAGGGGGATTAACAACAAGGGTCTCTGCAGGGCAGGAGGGGGAGGAGGAAGAGGCGTGGAAACCATGGAGAGATGCAATGAAGGAAGCAGGGTCGGAGCCACGGGCGCGTCGGCGCTGAAGACGCAGGAGGAGCCGGGAGCCGGGGACGTGGGAGGCTGGGGTGGCAGAAACGGGTTCTCCCCTAGCGCCGGCATCTTGATTTTTCCTAGTGGGAGGGACTCTGGCCTCCAGAACTGTAAGATCGTGCATTCCTGTTGTGTTAAGCCACCAAGTTGTGGCAATTTGTTAGAGCTGGTGGAAGCTCATTCAGCCCATCTGACCACACCGTCCCCATTCATTATTCGTCCGTTATTACCTTCCACAAGAGGGCACTGCGGCTGCCTGCTGGGTAAGCGGCAGGTGCTCTGCCAGGTACGGGGGCGGGCGGGGGCGGGGGGCACCTGAAATGAACAAGAGGGCATCCCTGCGGGACTTTGTTGTCAAACCTCTTAGGCTAAGTGACCTGGGAAAGAACTTAGTTCCCCCACCACGTGACAGGGACCACGTCTCAGGGTGTTGTTCAGGGTCCAAAGAGATGAAGGTAAGATGTATGGCGTAGAGGGTGGCACTGGGTCGGTGCCAAATAATCACAGTGCCCTTACTCTCTGCCGTCCTCTCTTCCAGGGGACCAGCTGCAGACAGCGCCCGTCCCCAGAGCCCGCCCCTTCCGATTGCCCGGGACGACAACCTCACGGGCGCTTTCTGTTGAAGGTTTAATGTCAATCGGTCTAAAGCGGCAACGATAAAAACCGTCGGGGTGTTCCAGAGCCACAAAAGAAAGAAAAAACATCCCTTCAACCCACTTAAAACACCACGTAATTAATGGAGCTAACTCTCTTCTGTGACCTTTCCCAAATGGCCGCAGGAGAGAGGAATGAACAGTAAGGATGCGTCTTTCCGGTCCAGGACTGGATGCCTGGGAAATCCTCATCACCCCCTACGGCGTTTTTAATTGTTTGCGGAATAAAAGGCACACCATTTCCAGCCCCTCCCCCCAAAGTCCCTGCGGGCCTGCGGGGCAGGCCTGGACCTTCCAGGTTCCACGCGCCGGGCGGGGCGCTCCAGCCGCTTTCCTCCTTCCACCAGCCGGCGAAGCTGGCGGGGCTCGAAAACTGCTTTCCCAGGGAACACGCCATTTTCCCCAGTCACAGACCCGTCCTCTGGTCACCTCTTTAAAGGGGACTTGCTGCGCAGGCCCGGTTTGCCAACACACATCCGTATAAGCAGCACCTTCCCTGTTCACACGGAGTCCAGAACAGCGCCCGGCCCGTGGGAAGCCCTTGAAGAACGTAGGCCATGAAAACTCAGCGACAGGCTTGCGCAGCACAACATCTCTCTAAAAGCAACCGCACTGCTTAAATCGCTCCAGGACCGATCGATACTTTGATTGACTACTGAGGACAAAAAAGAGAATGACATTCGGGGCCTTTTTCTTATTTATTTCACACAAAAGTTAATTGCGTCCTCCCCAACGCAGGCAAGGTGTCAGGACGGAAGCGGCGTGGGATCTGGCTCCCAGCGCAGCCTGCGCTGCCCTGAATGTGAGTGAGGCCTCGTCCGTCACGGGGAGGGGTAATTAATTCAGGAGGAAAATCAAACGGCCGTGCCGTTTTTCACAGTACACCCGGAGCAGCTACCCGTCAGCCGGTGTGAGCACCAAAGCCACAAACACCAATTCGGCAGCAGAGAGGGACACTTTCCTCCTTGGAGCATCTCCATGGAGACCAGCTTCCAGGTGGGGGCCGTCAATCATGTTTATATACTGGCAGCTTGAGGGGCTGGACAGTGGAGATCGAGGGAGAAAAATACCTCCCGAGGATCTTCCCTGCCAAAACTGTAACGGGAGGTTAAATCAGAGTAAAAATAGTTCCTATACGTGAGCAAACCATCAGTAAAAAGGATGACGAACCGTAGTTTCTAGTTTGGTAGGAACTCAAATGCACTGTACGATGCAGGGTCAGCAGTCTGCACCCTTCTTCCTGGGCATTTCCCTCTTAGAGATCTTTGTGCGGAAGTCAGATTGGGGCGCGGGGGCGGGGGGGAGCGGTGCCCTCCAGGCCTTGAGCTGCTCCCCAGCAGGGGCTACAGATGCAAAGAGAGCAGCACTAACTTTTTCTCTGTCCGGGGGCTTCCAGATCCCTGCCTATCACCACCCTCTCCCCACCACTCGCTGACCAGACCCCGAAAGCACAGTCAGCTCTGAACAGACACAGGGGGAAGGGAGGGCTCCTCTCCCCCATCAAACCCTCTGTGGCTTTCTTCCTGCCCTCTCTGACCTATCCCCTTCCCTCTGAAAGAGGTCAGTCTTAGAGGTCTCCGATCTCAGCTCCACTCCTTCAGAGCTGGGTAGGGGAGGCCAGTTGTTTGCCGTCTCTAAGCCTAGTTTTGTAATTGGTTAATGAGAATATCATCACCCATGTCAAATGAAGGTCACTGAGAAAATTAACAACTGTGCCTCTACATGGACAAGCTTTGTTTTAATAGCTTTATGAACATCAAGCCAATTAATCCTCACCATGATCTTAACAGGTAAGTGATGAACCCTTTTTTTTACAGGTGAAGAAACCGAGGCACAGAAAAATTACAATCCTTTGTTCAAAGCAGCATTGCTGTTAAGGGGCAGAGCTGGGATTTGAAGCCATGACGTGGCTCCAGAGTCTCTGTCCTACACTTTGTCCCCTGGCTCACACCAACACACACGAAGCACTTGGCCAGCGCTGGGCACAAAACCGAGGCGGGAAAACGTTATTTCACAGCGGTGTTATGTCTGTCCGTCTTTCTTGATAGCATTATTTATGGCACAGAAAAGAGAATGTGAAAGAAACATACAAACATATAGATAGATGAATGGGTGGATGGATGGGTGACTAGATGGACAAATGAGCAGATGGGTGGGTGGGTAAAAGGATGGAGGAACGGGCAGGCAAGTGGACAGAAGACTGCAAGAGCAGGTGGGGGGTAGATGGGTGAATAGTGGGTGGGCGGGTGGTTAAATGGATGGGTGGGTGGCTGGGTGGCTGGGTGAATGAATGGGTGGGTAGGTGGATGGGCTGGTGGGCGTGTAGAAGGGTGGGTAGGTGGGTAGATGGGTAGGTGGATGGGTGGGTGATAGGTGGATGGAAGGATATACGAGTGGACGGGTGAGTGGGTGGGTGGTGACATGGACGGATCAATGAAAGGAAGAGTGAACAGACGAGTGGACAGGCGGGAC